TTTGTTTCACAATACCCTTTTTTAATAATATTTTTTAGTTGTAGTTGACACAATACCTTTATTTCATTTGTTTATTTTAATGTGGTACAGGGGATTGAACCCAGGGCCTCACACATGCTAGGCAAGCGCTCTACCACTGAGCCACAACCCAGCCCTCATGACGTTTCTTAAATGCCTTCACATGAATTCTTCTATTGATGGCATACAGTCTCTTCCATCAAGACCCTTCACATTTGACCCCACTTCTAACACAATGCTAGACTATGGTGCCCTTGTAAAGAAACCACTTAATTTACTTCCACGTGTTCTAATGTTCCATTTCAGCGGTGTCCTAAGCTCTTGCTGTGGCCCTCAGGCTCTATCCATGGGCAGACTAGTCCACAGACTAGGGCTGCTTATAAGAGAACTGATCAACCACTGACAGACAGAAGGCCACAGCAGATGGGAAACAGTGCATGGATTGTCACAGGTGTAAAGCTGTCTCAGGCGAGTGAGGCATGAAAGAAGATGATCTGGGTGGCCTGGTGATTCAGAACACAGCTTTGGGGTCAGCTGTATTTGAATTCATTTCCAGGCTCTGTTGCTTATCACTGGGAAATCGCTAACCCTCCCAGACCTCAGCTATCTTACCTATAAAATGGGAATAATAGGGCATGTAGTGAGACTGGCTAAATATTTCCCAAACTCAAACCTGTCACCTATCCTTCCTTAGCACACAGATCAGTATATATATATATATATATATATCTCCTAGCTTTCTTTGCAAATAAATATGGCAGGGCCAGCCCCTAAAAAACTCACGAACAATTATCCTTACTCTCTTCCCTCAATTTTTGGTCAGATGTGGAAGATCTAGGAAAGAATTCTGAGACCCCCCGCAAAAAATGGTGGGGCCATGGGACAGAAGAAGCCTAGGTCCCCAAATGACTTTATGCCCCACAAAAACCACAGTGCACAAAACCAGAAAGAGTAAGAATATAACCTTTTTATTAGGTTTAAGCTGCTGAATTTTTAGGCTTGTTTATTATGGCAATTAGACTACCCTAATATGGAAATTGCTTCCTGAAAGTGAAGTACTTCTATAGCAAAAGTCTAAAATAAACTACATGGCATAGCTTAGCAGTTGAACAGAAAATTATTTAGAAAGAAACTGGTTTCAGGGGCTGGGAAGATGATGGCCCATGTCAGGCTTTGGTGAAACCTGGGATAAACATGGAAAAGCTAGAAAGCAGACCCCATCACTCTGAGAAGCTGTTAGGGAAAGAATGCAGCCTTGGGCTGGGGATGTGGCTCAAGTGGTAGCGCGCTCGCCTGGCATGCGTGCAGCCCGGGGTCGATCCTCAGCACCACATACAAACAGAGATGTTGTGTCCACCAAAAACTAAAAAATAAATATTAAAAATTCTCTCTCTCTCTCTCTCTCTTAAAAAAAAAAAAAAGAATGCAGCCTTGGGTGGGCAGCCTTGGGTGGGCGATGCCACTCCTGTAGCAGGACCTCACAAGAAAGAGGTGAACTTCAGAAAGAATGAGTCCTTTGTGGTCAGAATAAAAGAAAACGGAATTCAAAATGTAGAAGGCTGAAAAGGCAAAGTAGTCCAATCAGTTTAAAATAAAATTGACCAAGTGGCTTAAGCAAGAAAACTCAGTTGAACAAATTAGTTTGGCTGTAGCAGAGATGAGTCTGGGGACGTGGCTGCCTTCACATAGTCTCTGAGACCTTCAAGACAGTTGCCATCAGCTGAGAGGAAGACCCAAGGTCAGGAAAAATAGCAATTAGGCAACCTTGAAAATTTGGTCTAGAAAATAACTTTGGAGTGCAAATGGATCTGAACTATTTTACACTTTTGAGGAAATTGTATTGCCATAGTATTGTGTTGCAAATTGCAAACTGTATTGCAAACTAGTACCATAATTATATTTGTAATAATTATACAAACTAGTATAATAATCCTCTTCTGTTCCAAAAGCCATCACACAAATCTCAGACAGGTAGTAGTCTACTAACAACACGACTGACAAAAGGCGGCCACCACTGGCCAAGAGGCTAAAGGAACAGGGAAGAACCTCTCCGAGGGTGGCCGAAGCCAGAGGGTATAGTAAAAGGAGGAGCCATGGAATTCCGCCCCCCCAACCAAGAGAGGTGAGCACAGACTCTAAGGAAGTTTCTCCACCCACCTCTCCATGTCAGGGGACTTCCTTCACTCCAGCCCCCGGGAGGACTCCAGGATCGCTGTAAGGCAGTGGCTTCTAAACGGGAGTCACTTTTGCAATTGTCCTGCCCTGGTCTGGGGATAGAGGTGGAAGGTAGACAGGAAATTTGTTTTAAACGTTCAAAAAAGAGTTTAGAAGGTTTCTGCTTCTGGTGACGGCTATTGCTAGAGAAGATGATCCCAGGAAGCTAGAGCTGGGCCTGGCAGAGGACCGGAGTCATTCTTCACATCCCCAACCCCTGCGGCCATTCATGTGGCAGTCCTGTGCAGAGGATAAAGGCAGCGGGAAGAGCATTGCCTGTGGGCACTCGGTGTCCTTTCCCAGGGCAGCCCCTGCTCAGTCCCCTCCCCCTCCTCCCTCCTCAGAGCTGGCCTTGGGCAGGGAGCAGCCTGCTACACCTTAGCTTCCCACGGACCCTGTGGGGATGGGGTTGGGTTCAAGTCCTGGCTGCAGCTCCTGGCTGTGTACTGTGGAGCAAGCCCCTAAACCCTCTGGTCTTTTCCTCAGGGGTTAGAATAGCTGCTGACGCTGATCTGGAGGGTTCTGAAGACGACTCAGACTGGCTGGCCCACAGGACAGCACCAACAATGCCCATGAGTGCTTCAAAGTCCTCCCAAATCATGTCTGAGGAGCGCCTGGTGCGTGACCGGCTCCTCAGAGGCCCTGTCTGCTCCAAGGGTTACACCGAGCACTGGCTGAGATTTGGGTTTGAACTTGCCTGGGGAGCACTGTCCCAAGCTCTGGGAAGATCAGCTGAGGGCATGAGAAGCAAGGCTGAGGAGGGACGGTCCCATGGGCGCTTCTAAAAAGAGACACAAGCTCTGGGGACTGCTCTCAGTGCTGCCCCCTCTGGTTGCCAAGAGCACAGCCCAGGAATCTTGAGCCATGTAGGTGGGTTGGTGGCCTGGCTGGTTTCTAGCCATTGAAAGGATTCCCGACCTTTCTGGAGTTGGCTGTGCTTTGTTTTTATCTTGCATTTCCTTCCTCAGCGGAAGAGATAAGGAAGGTCTTAAAACACTGGCGACCCTGGGCCAGGGTACCTGATTTGCCAACTGATTTAGGATGGTTGTGTGGTCCCTGGATAAACCCAAAGTTAGAAGAACTTACCTGCCAGGGGGCCTTGAAGCCTCCAGTGTTAGAGTCTGTAAACAAGTCAAAATAACACCTGGCATTTTGCCAGGGGAATGTTCGTAAACAAGTCTGGATGGTGCCTGGCAAAATGCCAGAGGGAGTGGTTTGAGAAGTAACAAAAGCGAGCCATTAAGTATGGAGATTCCTTATTGGTTGACTGATGTATCTAGTTTATGCTAATTAGATAAGCTGTGTGGAATGTATAAATACTGCTCCTGTCCTGCAATAAACGGCTCCTACTCCTGCTGTATCAACGTATACAAGTTGTTCGTCACCCCCAGGTTATTTTGCTGCAGCCGGACTGCGGCACTCCAGAAGCAGGATTCGGATGTTTAAGAAGAAATAAGATGTGAATGTTCCCTGTTCTGACGTTGCCCACCCCATCCCCAGCCCACAGGCAGAATGAAGGCAGGGCTCTGAAGGCCCATGGTCCACCATTCCGCAGCTCCTTGTCTGGGGCCCTGCAAGGCAGCAGACTAACTCCAGGCAGCATCTCCTTGCCTGAGGCGCATTTCTGCAAGAACTCATGAGGGACCTGAGTAAAGCAGGGTTCTGAGGACCTTGAGCCCTGTTGTCTTGGAGGGTGGGACACAGGGCGAACACACCCTGGACAAGACTGAGCACAGGTGGCAGTGAGACCCCACCAGTTCCTCAAACTCCAGCCCTGCAACATGGTTCCCCACTCATGGAGTAGAAGGGATCCCCCAAATTCCTGGCTCCCCAGCAAAGATAAGCATGAAGCCACAAACCACACCTGTTTGACAAAATGCCTGGAAAGTACGTAGAAAAGTCAGCAAAACCAAGATGGCAGCTTTGTCAGTGAAAGGACTGGGCAGAGCACAGCAGGACCTGGTTCCCTCAGAGCTATTTTCTGAAAATGGGCCAGGACCCAAAGGCCAGCACGAGGCTCCCAGGCAGGCAGCTGGGGGCTCTTGCAGGAGGTCAGGGAGCCCAGGTTGCACTGTGGCTTGAGCCAGGGCCTCCGATGTGGGGTACAGGGGGACCCTCAGAGCCTCCACAGGCCTGCTTCCTCCCAGGTAGACCAAGAGGGTGTCCAGGAAGAGGCCAGAGGCCTCAGGCAAGCTCTAACTCAGCCCTTAGTGACCATCACCTAATCCTCCCATTCACATCACTGTCCTCTCCCAAGGCAGAATAAACTACTCCTTTATAGTGTTCTAGAACTCTCTAGTGCTTTCTGAGCTGTTTTCTCTGCTCCCTTGGGGGATGAGGCCATGGATCCTCTGGCATATGGGAGGTGTGTAAACATTTGTCACATTGAACTGAATAGTAATGAGGAAGCCAGAATGGAGCACACTCCTCACACAGCTAAGAATGACTTTACAGCCTCCTAAATTAAACGAGGCCCTGAGGTCATAAAGTGTGTGACATGCAGCCTGGACAAGACTGAGCACAGTGTGTCTGTGTGCAAATGCGGTTTCCATCCTCGCTCCTACACACCACCGCCTGCCACACTAGAGCAAGTACATCTCTGTGGTAGCCCCAGCCGACTGTACCCCTCTGCTTCCCCCACCCTAAGCTATGACCCTAGAACAAATGGCAGCGGACCCCTCTGGACATCAGTCATCTCTTTATTCCATTAGTGACCATACAACAGCACCACGGCACAGCAGGGGCCCAGCCTGAGGACCCCAGGGAGGCAAAGAGGGCAGGTGCAGGAGCCTCAGGGCCCTGGGCTGGCCAAGGTGACAGGAAGGACTCACCTGCCTCCTCCCCCAGCTACCTGGAGAGAAGCCACCAGGGAGGGGCCACCGTCTGTGCCAGCCCCCAGCCTTCCCCAGAGCACCAGGGATGCAGCAAGGAGGGAATGTTCCAGATGAGGCCAGTGAAGGGCTTGTGACAGGACTAAGGACAGGCCACTGAGAAGGAGCTGTGTTGTGCGCGTGTGCATGTGCATGTGTGCGTGTGTAAGGTGGAGAGGTGGCTACTCTACTTAGCATACCGGGTTTAACTGCTGAGCCACAGGACCTGCCTGGGGACAACGGAAACCAGATCCAGGGGCCTGAGAGGGTGGAGCCTGAGGGGTGGAAGGCAGAGACTACCCTCTCCACTGTGGCCGCTGGGAGGAGGCAGGTGGCTCCCAACTCGAGGCAGGTCTTGGAGCCGTCGCCTCCCCTGGCCCTGGGTAGAGGGGCCACCTCTGTCCTGACCGTCCTCAAGTATAGGCCATCTTGCTGCACACCCAGGGCCGGGTCATCAGACACTCGGTGGACACCAGCCTGGTGGGCTCCACGAAGACACACTCCCCTGGGCCAGAGATGGTAAACCTGTGGCCAGAGAAGAAACGAGCACTCACAATGGGCCCGCGTAGCCCGTCTCCAGTGGCGGGGAGGCCCCGCAGCCCGCTTGCCCACTCCATCACTGGGAGCATCTTCCAGGACAGCCAGCCCAGACCACCTGTCAAACCTGGCCTCCCACTGTCTCGCCACCCTGGGCTCTGGCCACCCAAGGCTTCCCGGGCACTGCTGGCCTCACCCTGCCCTTCCCCATCTTGCTTCCACGTCCTTCCAGGGTCAGCTCCATGTCCTATGCTCCAAAGTCCCCAGCTCAGGACCACCCTCCACCCTCCCTGCCTGCACCCCAGGGCACCACTCCTCACAGCCTCAGGGGATTGTGTCTGTCTATCACCACTAATGCCTGAGCATCCAGCTTCTGTTCAGCAGGGGCTGTGCAGCTCTCGTCTTGGGTCTCCGAAGGTGCCTGGTGTCTAGCCCACAGCAAGAGCTCAGCAGAGACAGGATGAATTAAACTCTCCTCACAGGTCAGGGGCAGATCAGGACAACCCCAGTAATATCAGACTGCTGAACTATAACACACGAATTTACTGACGCCATGAGTGGACCTGTGCATGTCAAGAAAACCTCATTTGTCCACCCAGATTTCTGATCCCTGGCATCTGGGCTCCCACAAGAGAGGACATCAGAAGAGCCCAGAGGGTGCCTGGTACTCAGCCCTTCTGTGTCCCCAGCCTTTAGGGGTCTCCCAAGCTCTGAGTTAAGGGCGGGGTACGGAGGAGAAATGAAGAGGCACTGAGGACCAAGACGGGGTGACGCTGAAAAGCACAGGGGGCAAGAGAGAGCGAAGGGGAAGGCTGTCCCCAAGCCCCGCACCCTTGAAGGCTGCCGGAACTGCTGTGCCCTAAGCCAGCTCCAGCGGGGAGGATGGCTCATCACCAGCTCTGGCTCCCAGGAGGGTCTGAGGGCCTCTCTACCCTTCTGCATTAGCTCCTGCCCTGGGACCCTCGAATGCCATCATCATCAGGTTAGTAGCTGTGCACACTGCAGAGTCTAGACTAGGAGCCCAGGTTCCCGTTACCTTCCATGTCCTCCCCACGTGTCCCTGAGCCCAGACTGGCCCCCCACGTATCTACACTATCACCATCCAGTTACCACGCCATGCTGCCACCATCACCCCACATCAGCCAGCGTGCTTGGCACCACATCCCTAGGTCCACACTACGTGGGCCACACCAGTCAGACCACGGCTGCACACGCTGCCACCATGGGAAGGCCTCAGCCTGAGACGAATAACTGCCGTCAGATCCCCTTTCTTCCTCGTGAGCGCAAGCACAGCACGCTGCGGCCCAGAACTGGGATTCCGCCTCCCACCCTCCCTCGCGGCAGGGTGCGATCATGTGACTAAGTTCTGGCCAATGGAGGACGTCCAGGGCATGCCTCCCCTTCCCACTCCCCCTGTGGCTGAACACGGTGGGCGGAGCCATACTGAGGGGGCGTGCCAAGGGCGGGGCACAGACAGTGAGGTTGGCCGGACACCGCGAAGCTCTGATGGCCATGTGGACAGGGCCCCCAGACGAGGCTGGACCACGGGGAAGGAGAAGGGAAGCGGTTTTCATGGACGGTCTCGGCCGGGACTGTATCTCTAGCTCCCAGGAAACCCTGTGACTTTCTCACAAGGTGGGGTCTGGGGCTTAGGGCGTCCCCGCTAAACTCCCTGGTCTTCTAGAAGATGAAGTCCCAGCTCACGTGTCGGGGTCAAAGGGGTCCCCGTTGACCCAGTGGAATTCATCGCCAACTCTGCGCAGGCCAATCCAGGGCTCCCTCCGCGTGAACTTGAACATAAATTCCTGCAAAAGGAGAGAGAAAGCTGGGCATCAGGTGCAGTCTCCCGGCTGGGGCTCGCCCTGCGACAAACCTGAGCTCCTGTACGGGTCCTGCGGGGGCGTCAGCCAGGGTTGGGGAGCTCCTGGCTGCAGGGCGCGTGCCCGCAGTGCCTGAGGGGACAGGAAGCGCATGCCTGACCCCGTGGTCCAGAACCCCAGGCCACCAAGAAGTTCGTGGGTTCTGCTTCTTCCGTGTTCCTACTGATGAAGCTGTTCGGGGTGTTAAGTAAGAGCTTGTCCCGACTTGGAGCAGTAGATTGGCGGTGCGTTTTTACATTTCCCAAGTGTCTGTCATTGTGATCCTTGCTTGTGCTTTATGATACTGAGTTTAGCTCAAGCAATCAGCCTCAGATCAGAGTAAGTGGCCTTGACAGTGGGGGTGGGACCTGTTCAGACCCCGGTGATTCTCGCCTGCATCCCTGTGACTGTGCAGTGTCTGGGTGGCCTGGGGACAGTCAGGGGACACTGTGTGCTTGGGTGTTGGTCTCCCCTTACAGCCAGGTTGGGGCCCTGGGGGTCCCTCCCTTTGACCCCACAGCACTCACCAGCTCCTTCTGGCTCTGAATGACGGCCAGCGCGGCCTCGTGGGTGTGGCAGTACTGTCTGCCCGTGTTCCAGTCCCTCGGCTCCTCCGAGAAGAAGTAGCACTTTCTTCCATAGAGCAGCCAGTCCTCGGGGCAGGGTGCCTCGCACTTGATACAGCCCTTGGAAGCTGCAGGGCAGAGGGCGGGTTGGCACATGCCATTACACCTGGCCACCACCTGACCCCCAGGAAGCCCACTTCACTGTCCACCCCTCCACCTCGATTTTGGAACCCTTCAGAGACACCCTGGATGTCACAGTGCCTGGAGGTGGCAGGTCAGTGGCTCAAAGAATAAGAGGATCTGGGGAAGGTGGCCAGCGCATTACCCCCAGGGGTGGTGACATCAGCTTAGCCCCTGGGTAGGCTCTCCTCTCTCCCAGTTCCCAGAGGCACAGAATCCCAGAAACTCAGACTGGGAAAAGACCCAGAAGCGCCTTTCCTCTCTCTGCAGCCAGCATAGGACCATCTGCAGGATGGTTTCCTTAACCCCACTTTCCTTAACCCCTCAGCCCCTCATTATCTAGCAAAGCAGTTGTGTCTACCCCTGACCTAATAGAAAGTTCTTTTTAAATACTGAGCCTAGGCCTGCCCTCCCATGACCTAAACCTAGGACCTACAAGTCCAGGCTCTGCCCTCTGGGGTGACCAAAAGAGACCATTCCATCTTCTCCTGCTTGAAGGGGACATCATCCTCCCCTGCGTCTGGCTCTCATAGATGCCCTATCCTCCCAGCAGGACAGCTCCTCACCCCGCCTGTACTGCAGTGTCCCCACATGACCACTGAAACCTGTCACCAGGACACAGGAGTACAGTGGCCTCATCAGTTTCCAGTTGCCATGCCCTGCATCTGCAGAGGCCTCAGTGAGTGGACCCTGCAGATGAGCACTTTTCTGGGAAGGAAGCTCAGTGTCCCCATCAAACTAGCAGAGGGCCTCCTTGCTAAAAGGAATAAAAGCCATGTCCTTAGATTGTTTGGGGAGCACCTGTTTCCAAGTCAGGCCTCCCAGTGTTCAAAACGTGTATATCACCTTTAAAATCCAAATCCAAAAAGTTATATTTACTTCTTCCCCATTTATTACATTCATCATTTGAGTTCATAAAGGTAAATTTTAATCTTAATATTTTACCCCACTATGTAATGTTTTGAACAGCCAACAATAAAAAATTTTAAAAAAAAATATTTTACCCCCAGGGGCCCACAGCCATGTGGACACTGACTAATTGGTGGCCCTCGCTGGGTGTGCCTGTTCAGTGAGATGCAAGTCCACTTAGGAGCGAGGGCCTGAGGTGCCATCTTTCAACCAATCCCCACAGAATCTGCTGAGAGACTTTCTGGTGCTTCACGGAAATCATCCTATGTGATGGCCACACAGTGTCCTGACCCCCCACCCAGCAACAGGATAAAAAGGAAAGTGGTTTAATTTGCAGTAATTATTCTAGGTAAATCCAAGCTGGTGCTGGTGACCACTGTATCTATTCCTAACGCTCTCGACCCTTCTCCTATTGTGCAATATATAGGGGAGGATTTGGCAGGGATGGAAACCGTTGGTGGACCTTTCCCCGTTTTAAGGAGTCTATCCCTGGTCTTACAGCACTTCCCAAAAATTAAAGACAGGAGCACGGAAATCACTCCTGCATACCCTACAGAAGCCACAACACACTTTGACTTCAAACCCTCAAGAGTAGCCAAATTCAGGGCTGGGGCTGGGGCTCAGTAGAGTGCTCGCCTAGCACATGTGAGGCACTGGGTTCAATCCTGGGCAATACATAAAAATAAATAAGTAAAATTAAAAAATTGTGTCCAACTACAACTAAAAAATATGTTTAAATAAAAATTAAAAATAGAGTAGCCAAATTCCCTGCTCACAGAACCTCACCCACTCTTTTTTTATTTCTTTGACTTTTTCAGTCCTGCAGGACACTCCATGTTTCCTAGGCTTCTCCCCCTTAGAATGTTCTCTTCCCTCGATGGGGTCCAGTATGTACCACCCTAAAACACTTGAGCTTAAGAATCATTCTGTACTGGAGGTAACTACAGATTAACAGGTACAGAAGGAGTTCTCTGCCCTCCACTGCCTAAAAGCAGTGAAAGGTTCTCTCTCACTTCTCTCTCCCCCACCCTTTCTCTCTCTCTCTCTCTCTCTCTCTCACACAAACACAAAAAAACAAAAAAAAAAAAAAAAAACCACACACACATACAAACCTCCCATCCCAAGCCAGGGAGAAAAGTACAACTCATATCATCAAATACCAAGATGAGTTTACACACAGAGACCTTACAAAAATAACCTTCATTTTCTATTAGTTCTCCCATAATTTCCACTTCACCATAATTTATCATCCCTTTAAGTTCAAATTCCTTTATTCTGTGAAAAGGATATATAAGCCTCTGAGTCTAACCAATTCTTGAAGTTTCATTCCTTGAACTCCCGGGCATGGAAATATTACAAAAAAGCTTATCTTTCCTCCTGTTAATCTGTTGTTGCATGTCCCCAGGTACTGAACATAACAGAGTAGAAGGAAACTTTTTCCCTCCCAAACATTCTCTGCCTCTTGGACTCTAGGAAATTCCTATTAATTCTTCATGGTCCAGCACATTTCCTGCTCTGGAAAGCTATGGACAGTAGACCTCTCACTACTGCACTTAGCCCTGGACAGATGTCAGACTGTCATGCTCATCTCTCTCTCTTTTTTTTTTTCCCCTAGCACCTGGTCGAGGGTCTAACATGAAACAAGACTCAACAAATGTTCATTGAATGAATGTGACATATAAAGTCCCTTATATATATCACAAGCCATCTCCTCCATGATCACTGCCTGCCTAAACTACCCCACATTTGCTCAGAGTTCCCGGAGCATTGATACAATAATACCTAAGAAACATCTCTACTTCCCACACCTGGCTGAGTAAAGAGGACACGCACAGCCCACGCGTGCAGTCTTAGCTAGGCTGAAGCCACACCAGCCAACACTGTACGGTTGATCTACTTTGTCCCCTCACCCCAGAATTCCTGGCATCAGGACCCTCTGGAACTATGTGGAGCCTATAAGCCGAATTAAACGTGCGCTCTGACATGCGTGCTCACCCAGGATGCTCATCACCACCAGGATGGCGAACAGAAGGACCGCGATGGCCCCCAGCAGGAGCCGCGTGGTGGTGTCTGAGGAAGAGAGAAAGGAGTCAAGACCCACCACCTGCCCCATCACCAACCCCCCAGCAGGCCCGGGGCCTGACAGAATCCGAGGGCAACGCCAGCAGCCCGGGCCGTGAGCAGCACCAGGTGATTCTGACGCCCCCCAGACTGAGGGCCACTGACCCAGTCCCACCCACCATTACCGCGCTCAAACGCCCTGCAGGGCTCCCCGCTGCCCACACTCCTGCCGCAGCCAGAGCTTCCCAAACTTGAATCTTCTGCTGCTTCTCTTCCCTGACCCAAATCTCAGCCAAACAAGCTCCTCACAAAACCCCCAGGCCCTCAGAGTCTGAAGTGGCGTCTCTGTTCCTGAGGTCCTCCTCCTCCTCTCCTGTACCGGGAACCCTGACACCATCTGCGCTCTCCCTGATTCACTAGGCTCTCTTTTTCTGTTATTGTTTATCGCTTACCATTTTTATGTAGTTTTTGTAGTTAACAAAGAAACCCTTTTAGGCTTTAGACATGCATTTTTAAAAATATTTTTAGTTGTAGATGTGTTGAAGGATGTGTCAGAAGTTTATTCTGTTTAGTCAAAGGGCTCTTTCAATCTGGGTTGAGTCCTTCAGTCCCAGGAAATTTTCTTTAATTATATCATTGATGATTTCCTCTCCTCCACTTTTCATTCCTTCCTGGAGATCATATTATTCAAATGTTGGATCTCTTGGACTGGCTCTCCAATGTCTCCTTTTCCACCACCCGTATTCTCTATTTCTTTACCTTTTGTTGTATTTCCTGGAAGATCTTCTCAACTTGGTCTTCCTACTCTTCTACTGAACTTTTCGTTTTGGTGATTGTTTGATTTCCAAGGATTTTTTGTTCTGTTGGTGCTGTTCTGTGACTATCCCCTCTGAAGGCATCCTACTTTTCTATTTTAATGAGGCAGTAGTTTCACTTATCTCTTGTCTGAAGCTATTACTGATAGTTGGTGTGTGTGGGGGGGTTCAATCTCTGTTTCTTCCAAACTGATAATTCCTTGCTCATTTGTAATTTCCTACAATGGCTGAGATCCTTGGCTATTTGTTCATGATCAAGACAGAAAGACTAGAGTTCCCTGAAGCCTCAGAGTGCCTGCAGGGTCTTGGTAACTGTGGCCGGCAGAGGGGTCTTGGTAACTGTGGCCGGCAGAGGGGTCTGGCTGGGTTGACCCTCAGGGATAACTGCCAAGCTCCTGGGAATTTTCCTCTTGAGTGGGTCACAGTTCCTGGAGACGCCTCCTGTTTCCTGTCCTAGAGGGTGTAGGCTTGGCTAGGGATCCTCCCAAGGAGGCGGGAGGCTGTCCCCAGCCCCCTGCTGTTCTCAGTGTGGCGGTTCTGTCTAGAGGGCCTCTTTCTTGAGAGACTCTACCTTGGGTTCCTAGCGGGGCCAGGGAGAGGCCGTGTGAATAGGACTGAACTCCTCCTCAAAGCCATGGTCCCAGTCCTGTTCTCAGCCCCATCTGCCTCCACAGCCCCTTCCCTGAGCCCTGGGGCCCTCACATGGGACTCAGGGGGTCCCCTGCTTTCTGGGCCTTCTCAAGTGGGCTGGCATGTCACACCCATCTGCCCCCAAGCTCCCAGTTTTGTTGCCCTGGTCTTCTCTCCTGTCCTTTCTGAGTGTGGCCTTTAAATGTCCCTTTGCTGTTGCATTAAGGGATTCTAGGGGGAAGGAGCAGGAGTAAGGTGTTCAGCTGCCATCTGGACGGGCGGGCAAGGCCTCAGGCTCCTCCAAGGCTCTCCACGGGCCTCCAGCAGGAATGCGGGTGGGGGCTCTGGCAGAGGCCCCACCTGCCCTGGAGGACCAGGCTCTTTAGTCTCTGCCTCACTATCCTCTCCTCAGTGATGAGTGGCACAGGCTGCGTCCCCTGGGGCTGCAGGATGTCATTGTGGTGAGCACCCTGAGTCATCCTTCATCTCCCCTCTTTCTCTGAGGTGGGGACTGGAGCCCCCGCACACTGAGGGTGAGAATGCGGCATCCGACACCGCCTTGCCCGGGTTTAGATCCGCTGTGTTCCTCTCTGGACGTGTGCGCATGGCAAAGTTACTCAGCCTCTATTTTGCTTCTCTCCATCTTTAAAATGAGGTCACGAGGGCGCCTGCCTCTTGGGGTCATACATAAAGTCCGTGAGCAGTCAGCTCCCCAGGCTCCGCCTCTGTGGATTCAACCAACTACAGACTGAAATACTCATTCAGAAAAAAATCACCTCTGTACTGACTATGGACAGGCCTTAGTTTCTTGTCATCACTCCCTAACCGTATAGTGCAACTATCTTACACAATCTAGAGACCACTAAAAACCCACAGGACGAGGTCTTCAGGTTCTGTGCAAATACTGCACCATTTCATAAAAGGGACTTGGATTTGGGCATCCCAGGGGCTTCATAGAACCAACCCCCTGTGGATACCAAAGGACAGCCGTACAATGCTTAGTGCTGTGCCCGGCTTGGTACACTCTAGGTCCCTGTGAGCCATTGCCATCCCTACGATGTGATGATCAGTCCTGGGCTTCTTTGGGGTAAGGACGGAATCCTTTTTTATGTGTGGTGCTGGGGGTTGAACCCAGGGCCTTGTGTGAGGCAAGCCCTCTCCCAACTGAGCAGTTTCCCCAGCCCAGGATCACATCCTGATAGTGATGTCCAAGTCCAAGTCCTCCTTGGATTCCCTAAAATGGGACTTGGTCATTACCTTGCATGTTCCAGAGCAACACCACTGGGACTCAGAAAACACGAGGGGACATAGCTACACTGAATGACAAGACCGCAGGTCAGCCTTAAATCCAGCCGAATGTGCGGGAACTCGGCGGTACAGGGGGGGTGTGCGCATGCGTCTCCACCCCACCAGGATTGGGGGGCCTCTTCACTCCTGTAGGGGGCTAGCTCTGCACCACTGCACTGTGAGCAGGGAGGACACACAGCAGCCCCAACACACTGTTCACTGCCCGCTCTCCCAAGGACACCAGTGTGACTGGACACACTGTGTGGGTTTTCTCATTGTATTGGTTTTCTGGGGCTGCCTTAGCAAAATATACAGTCTGGGGCTTCAAAACATCAGTGCACAGTCTCATAGTTCTGGGGACCATAAGCTAAAAGTTGGGGTGTCACTGTGGCCATGCTCCCTCTGAAATCTGTAGGGAATCCTCCCTTGCCTCCTCCTAACTCCTGGTGGTTTGCCCAAAGTCCTCAGACTCCTTGCCTGCAGCTGCGTCCATACAGCCTCTGCCTTTGAGGTCACATGGGCTCCCCCTGTGCGTCTCTGACTTCTCTAAGGACACAGGTCATGTTGGATTAGGGCCCACCCGACTCCAGTGTGACCTTAACTAATACATCTGCCAAGACTATACTTCCATACAAAGTCACACTCCAAGTGTGGGGCTTGGGACCTCAACGTCTCTCTTCTGGTGGGAACTCGATTCAATGTCTAATTCAGAAATCATTCCTACTCTGCACTAGAGCACTATGCACTAAGCTGGAGCTCACGGGTCTGTTCAGGTTTCCGACTGTGTAGGATTTAGCCTAATAATAGAAGGAACCGCTGAAAAAAATCTGGCTCCTCGACCCAGACCAAGCTCCCATCATCCTCACGCCTGCATCTCAAAAAAGGTCCAAGGCTGACGTCTCTAAGCCACCAGGGTGCAGCCTGGCCAGAAAAATCTTGCATATTAAAAAGTATCAAATATGGAGCTTGGTAATTTTTTAAGAGGTTTTGCTAAATGTATGTATGTGGTTTTGACCAGGAAGTTGTGGGTTTAGGCCTAATCAAGAAACTTTCAACATTAAAAATTCAGAATTGGTTCGCACTGAAAAATCCATAGCCTGAGTTATGCAGAATCACTGTGTCCCCTCTCCCTCACCCCAGGCCACTTTGCCCCCAATGCCAGAAATATCTCCACCCCTCCCGGTGTTTCCAGAATCCAGGCAGGAGCTCTGGGTCACCTTGTCCAGCGTCTCGCTTGAGCTGGGGTGGAAGGCGAGGGCTATATCCACGGGGAGAGCAGCCTGGACCCAGGGCACTTTGTCTGCTTTTCTATTTGTAAAACTGAGAGTTCGTCTATGGAGAGTCTTCAAGACCAGGGCTCCCACCTTGGCTTTCTGGCTGAAGCAGCTCTATAATTCACTTAATCCTTGAGGAGGAAAAGCAGCATGCCCTGAAGTGGCAGGTTTAAGGAGCAAGGGGAACAGCGCCATGTGCCCAGCAAGCGCAATTTGATTATCTCCAATTAGCTTCTCCGCGCCTGAGTCCTCGGTCACACAGGACAGGGTAATAGCTTCCACGTCAGAGGCAAACCCCACGGGAGTTTCCTGTGTTAGTACCAAGGTCTGTCCTTGAGCGGGACACTTAGACTCTCAGTCTCCATATCCTCACCTATAAAATAGAGACAATGCCCACCAACACCCCTCAAGGGCAGAGGGAAGGATTAAATGTGGTGATTATTTCGAAGCCCCAGCACAGGGTCCAGCACACAGCAGGTACTTGATAAACATTTGGCCCACAGTAATTGCAGAGCACAGGTGCCTCGGGGGGGCTCAGCCTGGCCAAATCAAGAAGTCTCCCCTTAGCCAGGTGCAGTGGCACATGCCTATAATCCCAGTGACACAGGAGGCTGAGGCAGGAGGATCACAAGTTTGAGGCCAGCCCCAGCAACTTAGCAAGACCCTGTTTCAAAAAAATAAAAGGGGCTGGGGATGTAGCTCAGTGGTAGAGCACCCTTGGGTTCAATTCCTAGTACCAAAAACAAAACAAAGAAAGAGTCCCCCCTTTCTCTCCAAACATACATTTAGCTGAGCAGAGTCTACAAAACCCTTGGGTCCCACATCCCAACCATAGTGTGTCCCTACGTGAACTCCAGCAGACTCAAAGTTGGCACACTAGTGTCAAAGGATTTCAACTGACAGCAGGTCACCCACATTCCCTGGGTTCTCCCATTGAGGCTACAGGGTGCCACATCCAGGAAGCTGGGGACAGGGTTCATTGCGACAGAACGACACTCAGCAGATGAAGAAACCGAGGCTCAAACAAGTTTGAAAACCCAAAGCCTGCCAGCCCATGGTGATGGAAGTGCCTGGCTCTAGATTTCTGGACAGGGGGCTCTTTGTACCTCACCACTCTGTCTCTGCCCCTGTGCGGGGTCTCTGTGAGGGCAGGATGTGCAGAACGGTGCCCGGACATTGCAGACAGGATGAGGGACTGTAGAAAACAGTGGAAAGGCCAGCGCTGGGCCAACATGGCTGACCCCTGGAGAGGACAGCCCTACCCCGCCAGCAACCCCTTCTGACAGGAGAAGGGGAGCACCCAAGAAACACCCAGGAGACTTTCAGGGGACCAGAAGAGAGGGGTCCCTGGCAGGGACTCAGATTCCAGACCTAGAAGTCCTGTAGAGAGAGGCAATAGGATGAGATGCGGAACACCCAAGTGCCCCGGCTCCCAAGGATGGGACTGCTCCAGGGTGCACCGGGGAGGTCTGGGGACACAGGCATGAGTCACAGAGCAAGGCCAGTAGGGAAATGGGCCAGGACAGCCGAGAGAAGGCTGCACCAATGGTAGATGCCGAGCACAGGAGTGGGCGGGACCCCAGCCCACAGACAACCTCTGCCCAGGGTGCCATCTCTCCTTCAGTGACCTGCCGGGATCAGCCAGCCAGAGTGGGCAATAGGAAGCACAAGGAGCCAGCATCAGGGTCAGGGTGGGAAGTGCAATGGGAATTAGCCAGCAGGAGGTGCTAAAAGAGGCCACACCACCCCTGAAATTACCACACCCAATGGGGGTTCCGGTTAAGGCTAGGCAGGTGGAACCTTCAGAGATGCTTACAAGAGGACAAATCAAGAAATACAGGCGAAGGGAAGAAGCAACTTCAAGAAAACCCTGCAGGGCACAGTGGTGCACACCTGCGATCCCAGCGGCTGAGGAGGCTGAAGCAGGAGGACCACAAGTTCAAAGCCAGCCTCAGCAACTTAGCAAGGCACTAAGCAACTCAGTGAGACCCTGTCTCTAAAGAAAATACAAAACAGGGCTGGGGATGTGCTCAGTGGCTAAGCACCCCTGGGTTCAATCCCAGTACAAAAGAAATACCTTGGGTGGGAGGGAAGCCTGAGTCACAGGGCCAATCCAACAACCAGGAGACCCACGTCAAAGAGTGGTACCTTCATTCTACCCAGCCCTTCCCAGTGCAGTGTGTCCCTGTACTGGCCCTCCCATTGGGCACATTGCTCCTTTGTCCCTAACCACCATAGGCTTCCCCTCCAGGTCTGCACGGCCTTCCACAGAGAGTCCCCGGACCCTGCCCATAACCTTCCACATGCCCTGGCGGCTCAGCAGCCCCACAACCTGCCTGGGCACAGTGCTGGCTCTGTCCCTCCTCACCACAGCCCCTCCCTGCTCACCTCAAACCTGGCTGGGTCCCACCCTCAGGGCCACCTGCAGTCTTCCAAGAGGAAACCCACCAGGGCAACCCCTCAACCCCTGCTTCAGAACCTAGGCCTAACTCCTTGGCAAGGCCTAGCAGCCCACCACCTGGCCCTTCGGGGACCTCGCCTCACTCACCAGGGTCCAAGTTCTGGGGCTCAGTTCTCCACACCCGGCTAGCTCCTGCTACCAGCCCCTGAACTTGCCACTCCTTAAACCCAGTGCCCCCTTCCCTGTCCTCTCCAGACCCTGTAAGAGTTCACCTAGGCCAGGGAGCCCTCCTTTTCCGACTCACCCTTCCTCGTTCATGCTGCCCAGTTCCTCCTTGGCCCTTGGACTAGGGGTGTCAGGAGCACCCTGAGAGGGATCTGGAGGGCCAGACCTCTCTCCTGCCAACTCCAGCATCTCCAGCGGCAGCCAACACAAGTTTCCTAAAAGAACTCATGAACTTGACGTCTATGACCCACTTGATTACTACCCTCTGGCCAGCCAGGGGTCACTCCCTGAGCCGGTCTAACTGGAAGGGGGGGGGGGGGGACCTGCGACCTTGAAAGGAAGTGTCTCTAGAGACCCTTCCTCACAGGACCCCACTACCACCAACGCGTCCCTCCCACCCCTCAGGGCTTCTGGCTCTGCCCACGACAGCTTCCTACTCCAGAGCCAGGCCACCGTCCCAAGAGGACGGTCAGGAGCGTGCTGGACAGTAAGCGACGTCCCCGCGCGGGAGGGAAGAAGGCTCAGAGCACAAGGCTCGCTCCCAAGGTCAAGGAGTGAATTGGCAGGGGCGCGGGGGCCAGGCTGTGGACGGAGCCGGTCCCCAGCGGCCCCCTCCCGGTCCCCTGCCCCTACCTGCCCTGCCAGGAACGAGTCCCGGGGACTCCTGTCACCCACGAATCCAGGCTGCGCTCCCGGCCCTCCCCTCCGCGGTGCCAAGGTGACTGCAGGGTCCGGGTCCGGGTGGAGGGCTGCGCTTACCCTCCAAGGCCGCCTTCCAGCTGGTGCTGCCCTCATAGCCCGAGCCCGAGCGGCGCAGCAGCGCCTCGGGGCCGCGGCCCTCGGCCTCGGC